GTAAAAGCACCTGCCACAGCTGTCTCTCTCACAGGTATGGCTGCACGCAGTCAACAATAATACTGGCTTTGCCAGTGGCCACTGCGGCCTGAGGGTTCCCTGCAAAATAAAGCCCTCGCTCTACTAGTACTTTATAGTTAGAAGTTGGATTTTGGCCTGATGTTTGTAGTGTTCAGAGTAAGAGCATTGCTCACACGCTACACAACAATGTTTTGGTTTTGCGTCTTCAGTGACTAGCAATTAAAAGTACTTTCTACCTGCATGACATTTTTGCTTAAAACTTAAATTCTTTTCCTTTATCCCTAACCCAAACCGAGACTGCTATTGTGCACCTGAGTTAACGTGCAAGACTACTATTCTTACCTACTTCTGCTGCTATTGTACGCAAGTATTCTTTCGTATACGCACGGTCCGCCTGCTCTGTCTTGTGGTGGACTGTGCCTGTTTTGTGTTCCTATCCGTTTGATCACACCCTGTCCCCCGCTGCTCTCAGGTCTGCGCTCAAGAGCCTGCTTACCGTTTTGGCTACAAGCCTCCTGAGCAGTAGAAGTGAGAAGAAGGATGCCGCCAAAGCAACAACTGCTGTTATCGACTTGAAACGATCGCCACGCACTGAGGCTCTCCTCCTTACCGCCAGCCTCCTAGCTCTGCTACTGAAACCCTCCACTATCTCCTTCTCCACCGCCCCGCCAGAAAGTGACACCAAGGTGGTGGCGCCAGATGTGGTTGCTGCTGTCTGCGTGGAAAACTCCGCCTCCGCCCTCTCCATCGAGGCGCTGGGTAGCCTGGAGTCTGCTTCAGTCCGCTCGCAATGTATGGATCTGTGTCTGGAGGTAGTACAATCCTGTTGCTCTCAATGGCGAATCGATACTGCTGCCGGGGCAGTTAATGGCCTCCAGGTGGGTGAGATAGTCGTACGCAGCGCGGTTTTTTGATTTTCGCTTCACTGGTCGGGTTACGGGACATGCTCAATCCAGAGCCCTCACCCTCAGTAGCATAGTAACTGGTATTTAATAGAGATAAGGGGGTATAGACAATGGTAGAGAAGACTGGAATTGCCCTTTCTGGTTTGTTGGACTTTGTCCGTCTGTCATATTTTGCCACAGGCTTGGGGACCTGAGGCTGGATATGGCTGGTGACGACAGTGATCGAACATTCCGGTATCTATTGCTTTTATTCGTACGCTCTTATCGGTCTTGGAAGTGTCTCACATTTTGTCGGCAGCCTACCCAACAAGACAACAA